CGCAGCGGCTCAGCTGTTACTATATTTGGAACTATTTTCGTTGATGAAATATATACAATAAGAATGTTTGCGGGAGCGTGATACTCACGTTGCGGGAGTGGGCGGTAATGGTCAGAAATTCAGCGGGAGCGGGCTTAAGAAAACAGTCCGCGCATCAACACACACAAGTTTTTTTTTTCGCGCTCCCCTATCTCCACCCCCAATCATTAGTGCCGCTTGTTCTGTCTTTGACAGAACATATAGGACAATTTTTAAATGGCGCCATAAACAAAATTTATTTCAAATTTAATTCAAGCACTTTCAAGGACCTATGTTTGTTTTCAAGTACTTTCCAGGCCTTGAATCCATGTCTCTGAAATTCAAGCACTTTCAAGTACTTTCAAGAAGCGTGGGAACCCTGTTTACATTTGCGATATTTCGATAATTTCGATATATCGTGCAGCCCTAGTTGTGACCATTTGAATTGGACTTCGTTTGAAAAGCCATTATGGTACCTGAACAGGAGAGAAAGGCATGATGGGTAACGTACCGGCATTCAGTGAGAGGTAAGGGAAGTCCTCTCTGGTGTAGGAGGCAGATGGTTGGATGAACATGCCCTCGTCAAAACCGTCTTCCGGCTCAGGTGGGATATTGTAGACAAAGCGCTTGGCAGCCTGTTTTTTCCCCCTTCCGCTGCCCGGCTCAGGATGCACCTCTCTCTTGACGGCAACCCCAGTGCCGGGGTGCGGCTCGTTCCAGACGAACACCGGCCCCGGACCCTGTGGCTGCGTCTCCGTAGACTCTGACGAGTTCTCTCCGCCCCAACCGGAACTTCCCAAAGCACAGCCTTCTCCCCCGGACACCTCCACGTCGCTGGGTTCATCCTTCACTTGCCCACTGGCCTTGATGGACAGCTTGGACAGGATGCTGGTGGCCCAGAAGTTGCTGGGCTTCTTGTCGGCACTCTGGCAATCTTTCGCCACCGTCCGCCGCTTGTTGTAGTCAACCACCACAGAATCAGGGGCTTCCTGCTTGATGCTGATGTTAAGAGCATCTTTGATGAAGGCGCGACAGGACTGGACCACTTCGGTCATCTGGAGGTAACTCGCCACGGACATCACCTCGATGGCATTCTGGCTGGTGAGCAAGAGGTTGCCGGAGTACAGGAAGTCCAGGATGACTGAGAAGCCCTGTACGGCCGCCACGTCCAAGTGCGTGATGGTAGTTTGGTCGCAGTTCTCACTCTTCGTCAGGCAGTAGAGGGTCTTGAAGTAGTGGCTCCCAGCAACGAGGATGTTCTTGTGCGCCTTGAACACCTGGTCGCCCACTAGGATGTTGACGTCGCAGAGGATACCACTCTTGCGCTGTTTGTCCAGCTCCTGTAGCAGCTGGTAGCAGTAGGAGTTCTCATTGGGCTTGTTTCTATAGTCCTCCACCTCCAGGCTCTCCGCATCCTCTGGCCTTTCCATCTCCTAGTGGATTGACAACAAATAAAAATGACGATCAGCATTAGTCTACAGTGTAAACATAAGGTGAAGGGCAGGTGTAAGGTGACAACTCCAACTAGAGAACTGGTTGAACAGGCTCAAAAGCTGCAGTACTGTGGGAACTACAGCGGTGGTAAACCCCCACCCCCAGGACGTGAGCTCTGTGCCCTTGTTAATGCTCTTTAAGATGAGAAATATTTGGCCATTATCCCATCCCACCATAAATCTCCATCATCTGCTCTCACAATTAAGAGAGAGAGAGAAAGAGAGAGAACCGGCTGGTACCTACCAATGGGAGTGAATCTACACAACATATTTCTGGATTGCAAAGCAGATGTCCTAATCCATGCAGAAATTTATACCACCCTACATTTTTTCCCGTCCTACCACACAGCTGTATTTTTTGCTGGAGTAATTCAGATTAAATCTATTTCTCAGAGCGGAGGCCTTCCCAGCCCCCCTCCTCCACACTGCTGGGCTTGTCCTGGTAGATGGGGTTATTACTGTAGCCTGATCCAGCTACAGCAGGCCCAACCAGTAGTCAAGAGGGAGAGGGAGAGAGAACGCAACCCCATTTCTCCACACAATGCCAGTCCTTTCCTCCAGGCTCATTGTTCACTATTGCTGCTTTAGTGCTACACTGAAGCTTTGTGAAAAAAGCACTTACAATTCCCTAGCACACTTACTGGTGAAGGTTGCAAAACACAGCTGGAATTACAAAGCCAGAGCTGGAATAAAATCCTGTCATCCTTTACTCACTGTCATGTTGTTTAAAGCCTGTATGACTCATTTGAACACACACAAAAAAATATATTTTGAAGAATGTTAATGCTGCTCTTTGCAATTTGATAAAGAGGCTGCATTTATTTGATTAAATATAAAAATACAGTAAAACAGTAATACTGTGAAATATTATTACAAACTAAAATTCTATTGTAATTTATTTTAATACACGATTTATGCCTGTGATGGCAAAGCTGAATTTTCAGCATCATTACTCCAGTCTTCAGTGTTGACACAATCCTTCAGAAATCATTCTAATATGCTGATTTGCTGCTCAAGAAACACTTCTTATTATTGTCAATGTTGAAAACAGTTTAGCTGCTTAATATTTTTATAGAAACTGTGATACATTTTTTTTTCACTATTGCTGCTTTAGTGCTACACTGAAGCTTTGTGAAAAAAGCACTTACAATTCCCTAGCACACTTACTGGTGAAGGTTGCAAAACACAGCTGGAATTACAAAGCCAGAGCTGGAATAAAATCCTGTCATCCTTTACTCACTGTCATGTTGTTTAAAGCCTGTATGACTCATTTGAACACACACAAAAAAATATATTTTGAAGAATGTTAATGCTGCTCTTTGCAATTTGATAAAGAGGCTGCATTTATTTGATTAAATATAAAAATACAGTAAAACAGTAATACTGTGAAATATTATTACAAACTAAAATTCTATTGTAATTTATTTTAATACACGATTTATGCCTGTGATGGCAAAGCTGAATTTTCAGCATCATTACTCCAGTCTTTTATTATTGTCAATGTTGAAAACAGTTTAGCTGCTTAATATTTTTATAGAAACTGTGATACATTTTTTTCATGATTATTTGATAAAGTAATACAAAAGCATTTATTTGAAATAGCAATCTTTTGTAAGATTAGGAATGTCTTTACTGTAACTTTTGATCAGTTTAATGTGTCCTTGAGGAAAAAAGTATTAATTTTTGTTTAATAAATATCTTACTGAACCCACACCTTACTGAACCAACTGTCAAAATGACAAAAAAGCACCTTAAAAGTAGTCCACATGATTTGCAGGGTATTCCAAGTCTTCTGAAGTCATATTATAGCTGTGTGTGAGGAAAATACTGAAATTTAAAGTTCGAGTGTGCAATTTTTTTGTGTAAACACTGTGGCTCAGTGGCACTTTCATAACATTTCTGTTTAAGCATCCCATCTAGGAACACTGACTCAACTGATGATACGAGTTTGGTATAGGACTATCTGTTTGACAAACAATGGCTGACATGGGCGTGTTTGGGAAACCTGTTTAAAAACCGCTTTTTGTGTGTTTCTTAGATAAAAGAGACATGACAAGCATGAATGAGAGCTGTAGTAAAAAGAGAAACTCTTCAAAATCTCCTTTTGGGTTACACTTTGGTATTAGGTCTTTGAAAAGACATGAGGGTGAGCAAAGGATTTTAATGTGTAAATTTTGATAGAAATTTCAAAGAAAATAAAATGTAGCCTAAATGGCAGCACTGTTGAGTTAAGACAGATCTAGTGAAGAGAAGGTTTGAAGAATGAGGATGAGGTGGAGGAACGGGGGTGTTAGACGAGAAAGAACGTCTGTTTTTGGTGTCACAATGTCCCCACTATTGTTCGCCTCTATCTATCCACAGAGAGCCTGACTGTGGACCAAGCCAAGCTATGAAGAGAGGACAGATGAGGTGGCAGTAAAAAGCGGGTGTCAGGACATGCTACTTTCGTTCTTCTCTCATATACACTCAGTTCATCCTTTCTCCAGATGTGCCACGTGTAACATATGCAAGAGAACAGATGCTTTTCGAAGATTTCCTCCATTAAACCCTGTCAAAATGAGTCTGTGGTGACAGTTTGACATTTGGCATGGTCTTTTTCTTAATTGAATGTTTGTTGTTGTTATTGTCTACAGTTGTGCTGCTGGGTCATTTTTGCCCTCTTTTTGTAAGCCATTTTGCCTGTAAAAACTGTACAACCAAACACCGAAAGGAAAAGACATTACTTTTACAATATCTTTAAATGCCAAAATTATGATCTCATATGGTTGATGCTAATTGTGTTTCTCAGACAATTTTTTTTTTACTCACAAAACCCTGACATGTTTGGATTTCATTTACACTACTGTTCAAAAGTTTGGGATTAGTAAGATAAAAAAAAAAAAAATAACTGAATACTTTTATTTAGAAAGAATGCATTCAGTTCTTTAAAAGTGACACTAAAGACAATTTAGAATGTTTCAAAAGATTTTCATTTCAAATAAATGCTGTTCTTTTTAACTTTTTAATTCATCAAAAAATCTGGAAAAAATATGCATCACGGTTTCCACAAAAATATGAAGCAGCACAACTGTTTTCAACAATGATATAAATAATAATAATAAAAAATGTTTCTTGAGCTGCAAATCAGCATATTAGAATGATTTCTGAAGGATCATGTGACACTGAAGACAGGGGTAATGATGCTGAAAATTCAGCTTTTCCATCATAAGAAAAAATTACATTTTAAAATATATTAAAATAGAAATTGAAATAGAAAACAGTTATTTTGAATTGTAATTTTTCACAATATTACTGTTTTACTGTACTTTTAATTAAACAAATACACAAAGACTTCCTTCAAAAACATTTAACAAATTTTACCGACCCCAAACCTTTGAATAGTAGTGTATATAGACGGAAAAAAATGCATCATTCAGAATGTGACACATCAAAGAAAATAGGAAACGGGGTGTTTTCTGATAAAAACGTGTTATAAACGAAACTTGCTGTGGTTTCTCTCTCTGGTTTCCCACCCCAGACTTTCATTTTGATGCGAAACGGGAACATTATACAACCACCACCAATACCGCTGCCCTTCTCCTGCGCTGCAGTTGAACAGTCACCTAAAGCTCTTCGGGCGATGAGTTGCCAACACCCATTTTTCTATTGTACACTTCCAACATGTTCCATTCACCGTAAACCAACAATAGCTCCCCAAAATTTAAACACATAGCCTTCAGCAACAGAGAGCCGTGCCTTTATCACCTACCAGGGCCACAGTGAGAATACACTACACAAGTGGAACGTTAGGGGAACATTGTGCCTCAGACAACAGGGACAGCGGTTTTGTTTTCCTTGCTCATAGTCTTCCTGAGCCATCCCAGCCCCTGAGGCCAGTGCCTGGTCCCCTCATCCAGATGCATGAACAATGCAGCAGTGTGCTTGACCCAAGGTGTGGGAGGGGAATGCCAGGATCTGGGCCTCCCAACAAAGAGCAGGGCTCATCGATACAAAATTCCAGGGAATTCTCCCCCACCAGCACCAACACAACCGCCCCCTCCCCTCCCCCAATACACACATATCTCACAGCGGCAGACAGTACATGGGTGGAGACCCTCGTCTTCATTGCAGCTCACTAATAATGGGAATAGAGGGCAAATACTTTGAGGGTGAAGTCTAGTCTGGAGAGTGAGGCAACCCAGATACCCTTCTTTAGGGGTAATTCAATTACAGCAGTTTGATATGGACCAGTGAAGAAATTTAGCCCATTACGACAGACAGTTGCTGCACTGAAGAACATAATAGATCACAATTATGAAATTGGCTAATGGAGGATGTGGCCTATCAGAACAGCCTTTCTTTACTAGACAGCAGACGTCCTTATGTTTCGCCCAATTAGGCTACTTTAAGACAGATACTATACTTACATAGTCTTGTGATCTCCATGTCTACTACTCTTATTCCTGAGATGTCAATGACAAAATCACTCTTAAATATAATGATTCTTTATTGGCATCGATGATTCCATCAAGAACCTTTAAAATCCATATTCATAAAAATAAAGGTTCCAAAAGGGGGTTTTCGCAGTGATGCACTCTTAGAAGAAAAGGTTCTATATAGAACCTTAAAAGGTTCTATCAGGCGCTTCATATATGGAACCCCTAAAAGGTTCCATATAGAACCCTTTTTAAGGGTTCAATCAAAAGAACCCTTTAGGGTTCTTTGTAGCCTGGAAAAAGGTTCTATATAGAACCCTTTAGGGGTTCTCGTCATGGGATTATTCATTGGATTTAATTTTTGTTTTATTTTAATTACATTTTAAGACTTAAACAGCCCATATAGCTACTTTATTACTAGAAAAACTGAAATAAGCATAACACATCAAGGTGTTGTGTGATCATTTAAGACACTTTTATTAGCGTTTACAATGACAAGCAATATAAAACACAGCAATTCATAGTGCAACAGTTACAGGGATTAACATAAATCCATTTTTCTTTATTTATTCATACTTTTTTATTATTTTTACCTCTCTAAAATAGCACTCTCCATTTTAGAAATGTTGTTTTTTCAACCCCCTCCACCTTACTCACCCATCCAACATGTCAGTCACAAATATACAGTATGTTGATTGCTAAAATCCACAAAAAAACTATTGAATGTTAACTTGCACAAATAAATACATTGAAAGTTGACTTGTAAAAAGAATTAAAAAAGAATTAAATGCATAAGTAAAATTAGAATGTGAAAAAGTCATCAGATAGTATATTAAAGGTTTAGTTCACCCAAAAACATTATATTTTACTATACTGCAAATGTTAACATCTCCATCAGCTTCTCTCTTTGTTCTTCTTGGTTTTAATTCATGTTTATAACGGCTGTCTGACGGTGATTTCACCGAAACTTTGTTTCATCTTTTCCTATACATATAGGTCCAACACAATCTACCATAGAAACCCGCTTTAGTTCCTAAAAGAATCTTTCAGTGATCAGTTTTAAAAGAACCATTTTTGTTCTTAGTGTGAAGAACATTTTAATAATTTAAAGAAACTTTTCCAATATGAAGATTCAGCATTGAAAAGGTTCCATGGATGTTAAAGGATCTTCATGGAACCATCCATGCCATTAAGGAACCTACACTGCATGGAACCAAAAGATTCTTTACAGTGGGAAAAGATTCTTCAGAGTATTCAAATATTCTTCACTATGAAAAAAAAAATAGTTATTTTCACTGAAAGATTTTTTAGGAAACCCAAAATGGTTCCTCTATGGCATCATTGTGACAACCCCCTTTTGGAGCCTTTATTTTGAAGAGTATTTACAGTAGCACATTTACTCCACAAATTACATAACATACAGTTATACAAAAAAAGCAAGATTTTGTAAAAAGGTTGATTGACAGAGGAAAGTGATTAAACAGGAAAGCGTAACAGATCTTCTAGCGTCTTCTTAACCCCTCTGTTGCTAGGGAGGCGGCAGTAATCTCCTCCTCGTTTCCTTCCTAATTAGTGAGGGGTATAAATTGAGTTAGAGGAACACTTTGTGTCACCCTGATTAGACTGACTGGACATTATCATACCACACAATCCTAAGGGATTTTACTGGCAAACCAGTAACACAACATCATCTGGGCAGCAACAGATAGGATTTAGTACATGAATCAATCATTTTGTGGCTTGATAATGGACGGGGAATCAAAAGCATAAAAACAAAAAAATCAATCAATAACTATTTATCTTAAATGACATGTCTAGGAATTGTACAGTTCCGTTGGATACAGAATGCAGAAGTATCAAATATCAATTAAATTTCCCTATTACAGTGCATTATAATCACAAAGGTGTTTCTCAGCTGCTGATATGATATGATTTATTCTAGCCTAATCTTATTCTGCTCTCTGCAGTGGCCTGCACATATCAGGCATTGCTGTCATTACAGGCGACATGATTCACTCTGACCCAACATAGCAAGTGACACACATTATCTATGGATCTTGGGGAGTCACCTAACACAAGGCCTCTAATTTAGGTGCCCTAAAAGGGGAGGGTGAGATGTGCCAGAGGTCACTTTTTACAGCGAGGGGGGTTGGGAAGGGGTGCGGCTCCCCAAAGGTAGCAGGGTCAAACCCTTGCCATTGTGTGCAGCAATCAGTTTAGTAACCAAGACAACCAGGGTTGATAATTACAGCGCAATGCAGGAAACAGTCAGGCAAACGAGGACATACATTTTGAGCCACAGCCTTTATGGTACTTTTGGTCTGTTTAATAATGATTATCTGATAGATCATCCTACAAAAGCATGTAAATAAAAAATGTTATAATATAAAACGCGATAACACATCTATAATCGGCGGTCTAGTTTCTTTAAGGTTTCAAATGAGCGTAAAAAAACAGAAAATAAATGTTATGCTTTAAATCTCCCAGTCGAGGCTCATCTCACCAACTGACAGCGCTGATCCAGTTAGCTCACATATGCTAACCTGCTAACATACCTGTAAGCTCGCTAAACAGCTTTAAAAACAGCATTCCCGCTGCAATATAGCCGGAAAAACATCGACAATTGTTAATTAAAGACCGAACAGCACAGCCCAGGTCGGCTCCGTCGCCTTTCCTAATGTCATTATACCGCATTGTGGACGTACCTGTCTGGTCGGGTCATTCCTGCCGTGCTCCGAGGACAGGTGATGTCTCAGCAGCAAGGCCCGCTTGTAATTCCGGCGGCCTTTTACCAGCTCGTCGCTGTTGTTGGTGGCGATGTTATGGCACCAGGAACAAGACATCAGCCCTGTTTCCTGGCTGAATTTGAGCCAGGGAAACTCCTGCAGCCAGGAGGTTTGGAAGAGCGAGTGTTTCTGCAGCAGCAGCGTCTGAGGTCTCATCTCCAGCAGCGGCTTTCTAGCGGCCGCTTCCTCCGCCTCTCCCGCGCTACAGTCCTCGCGGTTCACGCCGTTGCCGGTCGCCCACTTACAGCCCTCGGTTTTCACCATTATGCTGTTTAATACGCCTCTGTCATGATCTTTCCCCGCTGTCCAACTGCCCCCTTCCGGGTCCTCGTCCTCCTCTGCCTCCGGCTCCGTGCTGTCGCTCACGGACTCCCCGCCCTCGACTTTCCCCAGCGATGGTCCTTTCGCCCCCAAATCACCGTCGTCCTCTTGATCTGGCCTGTTCCCGTTCAAATGTCGGTCTTGACAGGCCGGGGCCTCACAGCTGTTGCCGTTGCTGCCTGCTCCGACGGCGCTGGCACCGGTGACGGCTAATCCACCTCCTCGGAAAGCCAGCGACCTGCGGTTTCGCTCTCCGGACATTTTCTTGAAATAAATTACAATCTACACTTTCTCAATAAAACAAAAATCCGATCGCGGCTCTCTTAAATAAAGTATTCCGCATGAAACGAGCCGTTTTTCCGCGCTCCAGCCTCCTGGTGAGAGTATGTAGGTTATGCGGAAATAAATAGGGGTTTTAAAGGCATAATTAATTTCAGGGTTCTGCCTGCGTCCGCGCAGGCCCCGCAGAGGTCGAATGGCAACGTCTTCCCCCACAATGCATCTCGGTCAGCGGGAGGAGGGTGGGCCCGTGTTAAAGGATGTTGGGGGTGACGCCGAACAGCCAGGGGTCTTTTGTGTCGGTGACTGCACCCATTTTCCGCATGCTTTTTCATCTATAGAACTACACGTCTCGAACCAATATGTCATTGTATCCCTTTCACGCCTTCCGCTGTGCGTGACATTAAAGACGTGTTTGTGGCTAGAGTTGTGATGGTTGGGACTATGGAGTCAATAAAATGCCACATATATATGCAAAATAATAAAGTTTTGCAAAAGAAAATAAAGTTTTGCAAACGAAAATAAAATTTTTGAGAAAAAATAAATGTGTTTTTTGCAAACAAAAATAAAGATTTGCAAAAGAAAATGAAGTATTGTGAGAAAAAAAGAAGTTTTGCAAACAAAAATAAAGAATTGCAAAATATAAATGAAACCGCACAAAAGCAATGATTTTGCAGTACATATTTTCCATGGCCATATCTAGTAATTTATTTGCAACACTGCTTTTATTTTGCGTTTCAGTCAAGTTTGAGCTTGCAATATGTTTTTCCCTTTGCGCTTCAGGTTTCTGAGGCCCTGCCCACATTGCAAGCGACTATATTAATATAAATTAATAATAAACGTATTAATAATAAAACACAATTAGCACCGAGATGCTTTTGGTATGGTAGAACGGTAGTACTTTTGTCACGCATTTCCGAGGTTCTGGGTTCTAATCCACCCTCGTGTAGTGTGCGCTATTAGGCGCATATCTGATCGTTTGTGTGAAGAGTGGAAGCTGAAGGCGCTTTGCAGGACATGGAGGCGCCAGCGCCATCACTCACTCGCATTTTTTTTCTTGATAGTTGAAACAACTTAAAATACGCCGTAATTTTTGCTCATAAAGGTAAGAGTAGTACATTCGGAAATGTAAAGGGTCTACTTTTATGTGTGCATTCACAATATCAACAAACGTTGTGCTTTTATAAAATAAATAGGAAAACAGAGGATGCGCTTGCCGTCTTGTCTTGAAGCCCGATTATATTTTTTCTGATTTTTATGTTGCTCTGCTCTAAATACCTTAAAATTTAAAGGAATTGTTGCAATGCAATTTTGTCTGATATGTGAATTATTTATTATATTTATTTAGATACTGATTTTAGTTGGTCTAAATTAAGTAGGTTAGGCACAAATTTGCTTATATGGGTTCCCTTCTAGACACGAGCGCTGTGTGTTTGTATGTGCTTCATAACCGTGCATCCCAGGGAGCCCGTTGTAATAGCCTGCACTGGGGCCCGTCATTACTAAGTTACACCACTGACTCCTGGCATAAATTAAGAAATGACTAACTGTTAAGTTTAAAAAAAAATGAAGCTTGAGTCTTTTTGGTTTAGTTTTGTCGTGGCCACGAGATATTAATTAGTGGGAACGTGATAATATGTCGTGGCCATGAGATCCTATTGAGCTGGAGCCTTTCCCAGCGTCTCAGGCCATGCATATATAAATTCTGTAATTCAAAAATAATACAAAGTGTTTCTCAAATCTAGTTCATGTGAGGATGATCACAAGTCTGTTAATTTAGCTAAAAACAATGTTAAATTTTAAAACACTGCCTTTGTTTAACTATATAATAAAGGCCTGGTAGATACAGTCTTTTGGCAGACATTTGTGTTTACGTCTTGGAGAAATACCATTGACGCCACTGAATGTCACACCGTGCTTGTTTTCGTAGTCCTTTCTGACCTCCTGACCATCCTATCGGTGTGTTTTACAGGTGGTGACGGAGATGGATGGATTGGTTTCTTGATATCAATGTCTTGAGTCACCACTATATATATATATATATATATATATATATATATATATTCATTCGTTTATTTTAACAATTTTAACAAAAAACTAGAAATTTTTAATACCAAATCTTGTTTTAATTTGAATGATGTATTTTTTTGTGGACAAATACATTATTGTGTTGGCTTGAATAAAATAGTTTTACTGATTTACGGTCACTTGTTTTTATTGAATTGTCTTTTGATTTGTATTTATAATGTAGGTATGTGTGCGTGTGTGTGTGTGTGTGTGTGTGTATATATATATATATATATATATATATGCCTATTCATAAAGGCCTGGTAGATACAGTCTTTTGGCAGACATTTGTGTTTACGTCTTGGAGAAATACCATTGACGCCACTGAATGTCACACCGTGCTTGTTTTCGTAGTCCTTTCTGACCTCCTGACCATCCTATCTTCATCCTGGTCATCTCGTCTCCACCCAGCTCCCTGCATCTGAGCAGCCTGTTCACTCTCGTCCCTCCTGGGCTGCAGTGAGTCGATGAGCAGCCTCCCCTGGAGCCAGAGCCTTGCTGTCTGAATCTTCTGTTCCCCTCCCCTCATCTTTCTCACGCAGGGCCGCCATCTGCTCATTCCTCTTTTCTGCGTGCCCAAGTCTCTCTGCAGCTGGTACCCATGGGCCATTGTGCGATCTGACAAGCAGATTGTGGGACAAAATCTGAGATAGGCCTACCGTTTGTTTGTTTACTTAGTCTAGGTATACTGTATTTATGATATTACTCTGGATCAAGTGGCAAGAATTGTGAATTGTCTGATCTGCAAAGTGATTTAGTTCTATTGCATCAGTGAGTGAGTCATCAATGAGAGACCTTTCACACATAAGTAAAAGCTATGGGTGTAGCCTTATGTCCTTTTCTAGTGATGGACAAACCTGTGGATTAGGACATCTGCTCTAACAGTGTGAAATTCAGTATACGATTTTAATTGTTGCCTCAGCAGTCATCAGTTGTTCATGTTTGCACAGGTAGATCTGCATTTTGTTCTCTTTTTGCTGTCATGGCAACATAGTCTTTCAACTTTTTTTATTTTCCTAACAGAACTACAGGGAGGAATGAGGAAGCTGCATTCAAATCCTCTATAGCCATTGTTTTTTATTCCCCCCCCCACATGATTGTGGATGTGAACATTGCGCATTTTGCTTGACTCAGTTTGGTGGAATATTCAGCAACTCAAGATTGAAAGTTTACATGACTGCCAAAAGCTTGCATAGGATTCTTTTGATCTCATTGGTGGAAATTTCCACTCCTGGTGTTTGTTGGTGCGCTGTAGTGTTTAAACTCCAGTCTGCATGTTATTATAGTTATCTTTTTGATCTAAGTTAACTTAAAACAGAACTCAAAGTGGAATGGTAGATTTGTGATGGCTTTGGTCATTTCTGTCTTCATGTGAAGTTGAAGTAGCACAGGAATCTTTTTTTCATACTTGTCATTCTTTTCTCTGTCTTGTTCTGTGCTTGCTGGCTGTGTGCGCACATGCATATATTACACTACCATTCAGTCATCCATTATATTTATCAATTCATTTAGAATTTGATGTATTATTGTTGCAAAAAAACAACAACAACTATTTAAAATAAACGCAGTGCTTTTGAACTTTCTATTCATCAAAGAATCATGGAAAAAAAGATAATGGTTTCCACAAAAATATTAAGCAGCCCAACATTTCAACCTTGGTAATAATTTATTTAAATTCTAATAATATTTAACATTATTACTGTTTTTACTGTATTTTGATCAGATAAATGAGTGTTAGAGTTTTTTAGAGACCCTCACATTGTTCCACACCTGACTTCATTTCTTCTGTCAAACACACACACACACACACACACACAGGTTTGTTTTTGTGAAAAGTGGGGACATCCCATAGGCGTAATGGTTTTTATACATGCATAGATACATATATGTAATTAGATGTATTCATCTTTTTGACAAATCCTAATGTAAATAGGCTAAGTAAATCCAGAAAACTGGAAACTTTAAGTAAGTGTCAAGTTTAATTATACAGTTGCCTTAATTAATTGCTGCATTAAAAACTTGCATTAAGTAAATCAGTGTGGATCTAGGTACATGCTCCAGAGATACGTTCATTGCACTTTTTCCGATCACCTTGGATTTTATTACTGATGAAGGGAATCAAGTTGAAAACCACACACAATTGAGTTTAAACTACTAGTATTATTTTGACAAATAGAATAGATGAAAACAGCTGTTCTTTCAGCATAATGCTAATGCTGAAAACATTTTTATAGTTTTGGTCGAATTGTCGAATAGCATGTAGCTAGTCCCTGTGGAGGTTCAAGAAACGTCCCAAAACACAAAACGAATATTACTCTATATATACTGTAAGTAACGAATATTATACTAATATACTGTAGGTAAAGTAGGAACTTTTAAGCCCACCCTGTGAACGTGAAGGACCAGGCTTATCCCCATAAATAGCTCTGCTGGTATCCTTTTGTCGAAATTAGAAAGGTAAAATGTTTATTAAAAGAAAGCAATTTAATATTAGTTCCGGCTTCTTCATTGTCCATTTTCTTTTCTAACACAAGCAATTTCGTATGTCTCTAGGTTTTTTTTTTTGTTTTTTTTTGCGATATTTGTCTATTTAAATTTGTTATAATAAATTCTAACATTTAGCTATTGTAATTATAGGCTACGTGCATTACATTTCTTATTATTTATGTCAACACAGAGAGCAATATTTCTTTTATAACCTACCCTGAGCACGGCGTAAAAAGTAATTTTTAAATTAGCCGGTTGATTTTAATGAAACTGTCAAATATAAAATGATTATTTCGATTAGTTTATTTAAGTTCAGTTACTTATCGTTTAACGCTGATTCTAAATGAATATTTCAGCTCATAAAACGCGTCGGGTGGGTCCTCGCGCCCGTCTCGCTCTGTTTACATCTCTACGTGCTGTGCGTCCTGACGTCACTGACGACCCCACCCCACCTCGCGCAGCAGCCTAGCTGCGGTGGCAGCTTTGAACTCAAATTTGGAAGATTGAAGTGGGAAAGCGGGACCGCAAGGATCAGAATAACTCGCAACATAAAGAAGCCGCAAAGACAGGATGGAGGAAGCCGATCAAGGTAGCTGAATTCTTTTGAGAACGTGACATGACATGTCGGCACAGATTAGAAATGCAACAAAACTCAACTTTCAGAAGGTAGCTAGCTTGTTTGTTAGCACAGCCAGCCAGCAGCTGGAATAAGGGTGGTTGTTAATAACAGTGGTTGTTAATTTGATGGTAATATGACAGTCAGTCAGGATAGATTTGTGCAGGGATTTTATTCGGGTTCGAGCATTTTTGCACATTGTAATGAGTTTGTTATCTAATAATGTATATGGTGTCCATAAATACTGTTAAAACATATGAAAGTACCAGAACCCAACCATAGTCTCTCATGTTTCTGCTGCAAAATATTTTATGTATGTATTTATTGTTTTAGTCAATAAGAATGTCTGTAATTATTTATTTAACTTGAGTGGGCTTAATTTGCAGCATCGTTGAACCATATGTTAGCATTAAACACCTGCTGTTAATGTACTGCTTCTAATGAAACCTCTCTTTGAGTCTCTGTCTGTATAAAAACAGGTCTCTGTATTATTTCCGTTTTTAAATCGTGCCAATTCCATTAATTGATGTTAATTTTTAAGAGTTTGTATTTTAATGTCTTGCAGATAAACCGTCTAATTTAAGTTATAACAACGTGTCCTGGAAAGCGTAAAATTAAAAATAGAATACAGTTTATGGAACATAAGCTTGATTTAGTAGCCAGCCACAAGTTTGGTAGCTTTCTACCTCTTTCCTTTTGTGTGATTTCATTCATATGTAGTTTTAAATCCAGGAATGAGAATTTATGTTGTGGTGATTAGCATGATCATATGCATCATACCTGGTCATTATAATGTAAGATTTTTGGCAATGTGGTCCGTTCCTTCTGATGTGATCTGGTCAGCTTAGGGTTACTGTACAGCCACTGTATCATTACGTAAATAGTCTGCTAAGATTAATGTCACATAACACCACTTTTTTTTTATTAACTGCTGGAAATATTGTAGCATAAATTGCAGAACATCCTGGATGCTCTTTTTCATAAAGAGCTTTATAAATGAAAAGCCACCTTAAAAGTGTCCATATGTCTTGAATATTACCAAGTCCTTTGAAGCCTTGATACAATAGCTTTGTTGGAGAAACAGACCAGAATAGACAGAAATAATTCCACATTTAGAATAATGCAACCAAAAATAAAGATTCAAATTGTGATTTCCTCACACAAAGCTAGTGTGAGGCTTTTGTAATGTTTATGGTACAGTATGTTTGTGATACTTGCCATATAAATGTGCCTTTTTGACAGCCCCTGCTCACTTTCACCGCATGGAAAACAGCAGCAAGAACATCCTGCTTCTGTGTTCCATGTAAGAAAGAAAGTCATGGGTTTTGAACAATGTGAGGGTGAATAAATCATGACATTAATATTGGATTTTTTTTGTGTGTGAAATTCATAGAACAGGGTCGTTTGTTTTCCTGTGTGTCTGTGGACCTGAATTTGGCTCTTTAAGACCACTGAACCAGTGCACCGATACAAACCAGTATATTTACATTAATTGTAAAATGTGTTGTTGTGGTTGTAATATTACAAAAAGCTCACTAATCATCCAGTTATTCTTTAGTGCAATAACACACTAGACTGTTATATGATTATGCAAGATCGTCCAGAAGCATCTGTGTGAGTCTCACATGGTCCCAGGGATCACATTTTACACAGTGTTTAAATGTAGCAGTAGAGCTGCTTTTCTTACCATTTCTAAAAGATGGTTTAGGTAATTAAATCAGCGAGTTATTAAGTTATCATGAAACACAAGAAGAACAGTTTTGTTGTAATTTAAGATGTGTCTTATGTATTGTATTTTTCATAGTTGAGAATTTTGGCCTAGTAAAGGTGTGGACTACAGTAACATTGCACTGAGGGGAGAAACTTAAGGCCTCTCTGTGACCCTCCAAACTGAGCCTCCTCTCAGCCATGTGACCACACAAACCATTTTGAACAGCCAGCCTTAAGATTGTATATTTGCAGTATTTGGTGTTGACAAATGCTAAATGCCTTTCACACATCATGTCAGTAATGTGTTTCACTAAAATATCTTCCATTTTCCTTTTAGTCATGCTTTTGTCAATTCTTATATACAAGTTTCCAGAAACCAAGTTGCCTTTTTCTAGTGTTGGTAGGTAGATAGATCTTCTCCATTTCCCGCCCATTATTCCCCAGCGTATATGTCCATCAAGCCTGCTGGAGTCGCACTCCGTCCCATGATTCTCATTTTGTCCCAGTCACGGGACACAATGCGCTTGGAATAACCCAGTAATTGATTAGATGCTGTGGTTTGTTAGGTGCTTCAAATGTCCTCTTTGTTTCTTTACTGGGGTTTTTATGTTCTTGAGCTCTGAGTTTAAATGCAAGTCATACAAGATCAAGTTCACAAGGATTCCTGATGTTGAAGAGACTCAAGGCCATTGAAAGGCTTCTCCAACTCTATAGGAGGTCATGGGATTCCATGTCCATCCTATTATTGGCATTGTGAAGATCACATTGTGAAGGCCCTTGTGGGGTCATGTGAATGTTAGTGGGCCAAAGGCAGAAGTTGGCATGTCACTGGTAAATATGTGTTGTTTAAAAGATTATTTAGTCAAAACAAATGTGTGATTATTGCTTATTTCCTCTTTTAAACAATACTTCCATTCCATTTGTTAAAATGGGAAGTTGGGCATCTTCCTTCATTGAATCTCTCTGTTCTATTTCTGCAGTTTGCTTTATTTTTCCATAGACAGTGACAGTCCCGGTCCCTCCTAACGTGGAGGTTTACTTTGGGAGCTCATCACATGTTGTGAAACTCTCCCCACAATACAAAGCTCATGAAAAAAAGGCTTTGTCTGAACTTGCCTACAGGTGCTGAAGTGAGATGTTAATAAAAATCCATAGTATTAGTTTTATGTGAAAAATGATTTGGGATGCAAAGGAACATAAATTAAATTTGCCGATGGCTGCGCATTGCATTCAAGTCTCTATTTGAACATCTGCATGCTTTTGTTGTGCAATCTAGTCTGGATGGAAGCCAACAAGGACTTTGGTGAAAGACACATATCCGGGTACTATCCTGCACGCAGCAGCATGGAGACGTCAAGGTTCTGCCATCCTAGACTAGACGTGTGAGATGAATAGTTGGAGTGTTAATTGGCGAGCACACACATACACAAGCGCACATGTGTGTTTGTCACTGCTCGGCTCTTGTATGCCCATGTGAATACAGCTGAATAGAGTCTCTGTGACTTTCATTATAACCTGATTCTTTGCGTCGTTGGCTGTTCTCACTGATCTGTACTGGAGACAGTAGACCCGTCCCACATAAGACAGCTACTGTAATCTGACAGTGATGTGTAATTCCAGTTCCTCAGGGACAAACTCTGTAGAGGGTGTGTCATGCATAGCATGTGTGCATTTTAAAACCTGAGGAAATGAATTGGAATGTGCAGTGATGTGCTGATGTCTTGTGTTTCTGCACCACTTGTGGCAACAAATGGAATTCCAATTGATGTTATTGGCAATATCATGAATATTGAGATTATTTTGAGATGGGTTCATTCATTTAATAAGCAAGCATCCACACTTAAATATCAAATATGAAAAAAATAAAATTAATAATAATAATAATAATAATAAATATTATTAATAATAACAATAAAACATTTTACTATAATAATAATTATTATTATAAAATGTTTTTTATTTTATTTTTAAAGGCTCTTTGAAATCAAAATTGACGATTCATATTTTTTGATGGAATTTTGTGGTGTATATTTTAAATGAATTATCCATGAACATCATTTTTTTTTAAATGAATGTGCCCTTGTAATCTTTAATAAAAAAAATGTATGTCCCCTCCCCCTCACAATGACATCTCTGATGTCGTGTTTACAGGTGCGAGGGGTGGGACAATAATCTCTCTAGCATGTTGCTAACATGAGATCTATTGCAGGAATTAGAAAATGACGATCTGGCGTTCCAAACATTTCCTGAAGGACAAAACCAAGTCTGTTTTACTTTTTTTCTTATTCGAGAAGCCATTTCACTTGGATATATGTTATAATAAGAAAAAAAGTCAGTTTACAGTTACAGTTTACGGTTCATGCTGATTTAAAATAAAATGTGTGTGTGTTATTTCATGTGGATGAACTGCGATGCAGATTTTCCATTATGGTTGCTCACATGAGCATTTAGAGTTCTCTCTGGTGTCTCTGGTGATTCATTTGACCACTATACACATGCAATTATTTAAAAAAAAAAAGATTTTTGTATTTAAGAAGCAATAAAGCCAATATTTATAGATTATATGTATTTATAGAATATTTATGCATTAAATCATGATCTTCCACCATTTGACAGGACCTATAATATTTGCAATATAATGCAGCAGGGATGTAAAATATTACAGTATAATGGTACTGAAGACACCTGAGTGTATGTCACCACTTCTGAATGTCTTGCGCTTGGCTGAATCCATTTCAGTGTGTAATGGTTTGTGCAGCCGGTGTGTATCTGAAGCGGTGTGGAGGCCCTTTGTAATGGATTAACGTTGTAATCTAGGCCACCGCAGATTACAGCTTCGTTTCGTGGGCTTGCCCCAGTGTCATGTGACCAGGGGACAAATGGATCTTCATTTCCCATGGATGATAAAATGGACGGCGGGGCTGAGCATAAGCTAGTCCAGCACAGGAAGCTGAAGACGATTGCTTTTTTCAGTCTTTAAGAACACTTTTACAGGATTGTCAACAATACCTACAAGGACCGCTGAGATTACAGCTGGGAGTGTCGGCTCGTGACGGAAATAGAACGCTCTGGAGAGGTAACTTATTAACGTGCTGCTGTCGTTGCAGAATCCGCAACACGCTTATACTTGCAACCGTAGCTAGAAGATAGGACAATCGGCACTGTGATATCCTAACAGGCTCGGTCACATGCAGTCATTTAGTGTCCTGAGAGCTTCCTGTTCATGGGCAGCATGGAGGAACTTGTAGAGGAGTACAAGTCTCCGTTCAACTTTGAGCAGGGAGTGAACATCAGCTACCTCTACCTGTCACCTGAAGAGAGTTTCACTCCACCTGGTTCACCGGTACTGCCGCTCAGAGGTAACAGTGTTTGTTCAGGTGCTCAGTGGGGGTGTGTGTGTGTTTAGGTGTGGACTGGGGTTTGTCACAGTATAACAGCAACAGACAGAGAATGTTATTGAAAGAACGGGAGAGCCCTCTTCCTGTCAAGTGCTGATGTTTTGAAGAAGCTCATCCGTCAGGAGCAGATGCTGTTCAGGTGGGCCGTAAGGTTGCAGAATAACTGGTAAACACCAGGCTCATGCAGACTCAGTGCCATCTCTGTATTATTATTCATTTGTAATATTTCTTTATTTAATTTTTAAATAGTAGTTAGTAGCTTTTTTTTGTCATGTTTTAGTTTTTCATGCCATTGCCTGTTGGAGTTAAAAGTAGGGGTCGACCGATATGTGTTTTTCAAGGCCGATGCCGATACCGATTATTACAGATCAAGTAGACCGATAACCGATATTTTGAACCGATATATATGTCTGGTGTAAAAATTAAAATTAATGTCAAAATGAAGAATAACAAGGGCTCTGACAAAAACTGCCTTCCCTGGTGTTGGTTGAGTGTAGTACTACCACAGTAAACTCTTTATTTTAAAGAGTTAAACTCTTTATTTTTTTTGCAAACAAAGGTTTTACCATTAAAATTAAAACATGGAAGAAATAGCGTATTGTGTGATTGTTCTTTTAAACAAAAGTTGTAATAATTGTTGTAGTAGTCTGGGGTTAAAGCAAAAAAAAAAATCTTTTGACTGAAAATGTTTCCTCGGCCAAACCCCATTCCTCAGCCATACCTGTCACACACCCAGTTTAAGAGCAGTGTTTTTCTTGTAATCAAGAGCGCTTGTCCTCCTAATTAAAAAAAATTAAAGAGCACCTTCTGATCAATAATAAAAAATTCTGAACAAAAATTAGCCTTCCTAACATGAGGTGAAGTGATTTACAGGGGCATTTTCTTTTTACCTTTGCAATGGCATCATTTTCATGTCAAATTTTCAAAAATTTGTTTATAAGCTTTTTAAAATTTC